TATATATATATATAGGATCATTCAACAGATGCATGTTTGTTCACAAACACACAGGCTTATAGAAAACCAGCTGCTGAGACATTATTTAGATGGTCCACATGTACAGCATCTCGTCTTCATGTTCCATTACTCCATTACCATAATCCTTTCTCTTTTTTTTCTGTGAAACGACTCCACTTTGAATATGGTGTGTAAACATAGAGTCTGTCCAGCTTCAAACGCCTGCAGTGTGGATATTTTTTTATGGTAATGAATATAATGTAGCTCGGTGTTGCCTGATATTGCAACACCTTTTCCAAATGTCTCATACAGAAAGTGTGTGATGATACAAAAGACACGAGCTTGTGTCCTGTTAGCTCCAATGTTTAAAATGTACCCCAATAAAAATGATTGGAAACAAAGCCTTACTAATGGCTGTTTTCAATAAATCTCATAGTGTAACCTTTTTTGTGTTTTTATATGAGATGATTATTAATGAGCTCTGAATTTCTGCCACATACCTTCTTTCTTTTATGCGTACTTCGTTAGCTTGCAGTGTACCTCTGTGTTTATCAAGAGTTTATCAGTACTTCATAATACACCGTGACAGCATATGTGATTTATTAAGCTCTCGAAAGCTTCTGAAGAAGTTTTCTGATAAACTTTATCTTGTTTCTTGCGCTAAATATTAACCTGTGTTGTTATTCTTGCCTAATGGAACTAAATTAGGCTGATGTGTCTTGATTATTTGATCACAGCAGCAAATTCACCCTTATTAATCTTGTCTAACCAAAACAGGACAGTTCAAGGTGCATGGCGAGCTGAAACGGAATGGAAAAAAGGAATGGGAAAAATCTTATTAACTACAGGTATGGAAGTCCAGCATTTTAGTTAAAAGAGCTGATCACCTTTATGGCATCACCTATTATTTATTTATTTGGTTTTTGATTTAAATTATTATTCAAAGTGGCAAATAAAAGAAAATACAATTTCAGTCTTTCTACTTATTTCACGTTTAATTTCAATCCGAGATGTAGATGAGTTTCTTTCTTCATCAAAACAGATTTGGAGAAATGTGGCATTACTTCACTTGCTCACCGATAGATCCTCTGCAGTGAATGGAAGCCGTCAGAATGAGAGACCAAAAAGCTGATAAAAACATCATAATATTCCACAAGCAATCCACTCCAAGACTCCAGTCCATCAATTAACATCTTGTGACGTGAAAAGCTGTGTGCTTGTAAGAAACAAATCCATCATTAAGGCGCTTCTAGCCAAAATACCAGTCCATTATCAATAATAGTGCTTCCTCTTGTGGAAAAAGTTAATTCCCTGCTGTCCTCTCATATCAAAATCCACAGACATATTTGTTTAGAACAGTTTTTGCTTGTAAATGGTGCTTGATCTGTGCATGTTTCTCTCCTGATTCAGACGACAAATTTTCATTGGAGAAAGCAGTATTATGGATAGAGGATTTGTATTTTAGCTGTAAACAACGGTTTGAAGTTAAACACATCATATTGAGAAATTTGTTTCTTACAAACATGCAACTTTTCACTTCACAAAACATGAATTGATGGACTGAAGAAGTGTGGATCACTTGTGAATTATTTATCTGCTGTTTTGAAGAAACTCGTCTACGTCTTGGATGGCCTGACGGTGAGAAGATATTTAGCAAGTTTTTATTTTTGGGTGAAATATTCCTTTAAAGGGACCCTGTCTAAATATACTCTGTGATGTCTCATATCACTCAGTGCCATTTTTGACTCATCAGAAATGCATAATACTCATAATGACTAATATGTGAAATGGTAAAGCGTGACACTAATGTCAACACCACATGGTTTGATTCCCAGGGAGCACATACTGACTTCTAATTGTATGCTTTGGATAAAAGCATCTGCCAGCTTTGTACTTGACTTAGTGAAACATATATAATATGATTCAGGTTTGGCTCATTCAGCTCTCCTGTTCTTTTCCCACGAAGCAGGTCTGTCAAGTGACAATGAGGTTTTGCTTGAGACAATAATGAAAACCCACAACGATTAGGGGTTTATTACTTTTAATCAATTCAGCTAGCTACAAAATGTCAACCACTTCACAGACTGACAGGATACAGAGGGAGTTTTAATATTACATGCGTTGAGGACATCAATCTCACAGTTTAACCTATGTATCATTCAGGTAAGGTATTTATTTGACTTCTTATAATAATTATTCAACATCTTAGTGATTTGGTGTGCATAGCTCTTAGTACAGAAGCAACAAAAATAACTTTTTTTTGTTATGGATTATTATAGTTTTTTACCAACAACAAACCACACGGGGAAAGTAAACTAACAGGATACATCTTCTTATAAAAGTAAGGTCTCTCAGAAATATGCGTCTTTTGCTTTACATTGCAAATTATTTATTTATTTTTTTCAGAGCATCCAAAACCTATGATACAGTAAACAACCAGTCCCCACCTTTCAGAACATCATTTTCTACACCAAACTGCATATTCATTTTAGAAAACAAGTCATTTTTGCAGGACCACCACACCAGCCTTGTTTCGTTGCCATCACATTTCCTTTTTAAGTCACTTTTGCATTATTTTACAACAAAGGTCACAATCTGTGAATATATACCGACTGAAATGGTGGCACTATTGCAAACTTGCGGTAATATGGAACGTTCCACTGTGTCCTAATACTGAGCATGCTTTTGTCAATTTTGCTACTGCCATGATTTTTTTTTTTTGTCATCTTTTTAAAACAAATTTTATTTATAAGACGCTAAGATCTACCATTTGTCATGCATAACGCACAATTCACATCACTTGGAATGCAGTGTTTTTACTACAACAGCTACAGAATCTAGTTGCACATTGTCTAAACAGTAACTGATCATGGTTGTGATGAGGGATATGAACCAATGACATTGATTGTAAGTGCTTGTTGTATTAAGATCATTTGCAAAATCTTTTTTCCCATTCTTCATTGTCATGACAACGTCAAAATAAGGAGCATGACAGTAGCCGAATGGTGTGACACAGTTTTACCAAGACGATACTGAGATATACTGAAAAGGAAAGACACTATATGTATACACATACAAGCAGATATATGTATACATACATACATATATGTATACAGGCAATAAAGAGAATAAAACTTCACAAGTGAGCAAGAGCCATCGAGTCAGCACTATATACAACCTTTGGAAAGAATGATACAGAGTATAAGAAATAATTTTACGAGGACAATCATTGAAAAAGCTGACAGACGACACATAGAACGACATTTACAATGGGGGCCGGGTGATATGTGCATGTGTGCAAACCTAGAAGGTAAATACCATGATAAGCGCATTGCCTTTTGACAAACTGCACAGATGGTAAAAGCAGGCAGACCAGCGTCTTAGCCACTGCCGAGCATCTTTGTGGCCCTCTGGTTGGCTTCATCAATCCTGGTCTTGTTGGAATCAGCCTGAAATAGTTCCAATAGTGCTTTATTAGCAACGATGTATTCATTAAAATCAAGCTATTATACACAGTTGTAATATGTGCAGTATGTTATTAATAGTTATTAGTTATGTACTTAGAAATATATATCATTGTTATTATAGTTAACTACAGTATATATAAAAAAATAAAAATAAAAATAAAAATGTTAATTGAAATAAAAAACTTAAACTTATTTTATTTCTACTAGTTAACAAGGCAACATTTCTAACTTTCATTTAGTTTAACTTGAAAAATTAAAAACTAAAATGAAAATGAAAGCAGAAAATACATAAAATCAAATTCAAATATTAACAAAAACTATAATAGTATCTCAACTATACTAAAATAACACTGATATACATATATAGTTAAATTTTTACAGTCATCATGAAATCAAAATTTACATTTAATTTAATGAACATTCTTAACTTTGGTGCATGTTTGTAATTTATACGTTTAGTAATTGCCAATTATTTATGTTATGGAAGTTAAATTTTATATATAATATTGTTTCAACATGAAATAAAAACTGCCTGTTTCATTCATTAATGAACATTCTTATCATTGATACATGTTGTCTTTTTTACATTTTTATAAAAATAATAATATATATGTTTATATATAAAATGTACAATATATGTAAAATATATAATATAATAAAATATAATACTTAGTAATATTAATAAATATTAATTTCGTAATTTCCAATTACTTGTGTTATGGAATTCAAATGGGCTGCAAACAGATATTCAAGTCAACTCAATTTGTTGAACTGACTTTTAAAACGGCACTTTTTATAGGATTTAGGATGGTGTGTTTTATCATTAGAAAATCCAACAAGTGAATCTGGAGCCAGTCTATACCTTCTCCATGATCCTGTCGATCTGGCGGTTCTGGGTGTCAATCTCGTTGCCCATATCAAGGGCCATGTGGCGCAGGTTACCAATGATGCCTCCCACCTGCTCTAAGTTCTCATCCATCTCATTTTCCCTTGCGTCATCTGTTACCCTGCACCCACAAGCAAAGCAGAACGTCAATTTAAATCCACAAACGCCAATAATTTCCCATACACATGGGCTATCCATACATTTGACCTCTTAAGCCTTTTATTTGAGCATACACAGCTGTTGCGACCAGATTTATTTAACCTTTTAGCTGCACAATCAAACCTCTATCATATCCAGCTAACCCTCTGGACAAAGCGTCCTGGAATCCGGGGCCTCTCACCTGCGGATGAAGCCCCCGCTGATGGCCATCTGTTCGCGCTCATCCACCACGCGGGCGGGCTGGCTTGCAACCACTCCATCCTGGTTGTTTCCCCAGGCCTTGCTGGCTCCACTCTTCATTCTGCACAGAGTCGGGGGAAGCGTGAGCACTAGGATAACCGGACACTTCCATATCAGCAGCAGTGTTCACAGATCAACAACAAACATGGATTACCAGGCAAGCATAACAGGGATGGGCTCATTCTCAAGGGGCTTTTGTAATTTGTAAGGCTATATGTGTGACACATAACATACATATACTTGATGCTGAGACACATATCTTTCTGAAAATGGGGGATGTAAATAAAGGTGGACAGCCATTTCCAAACATAGAAAAATGGGACTCAGAGGTCACCTCTGGCCACCCCATGGCACATGAGCTGTCACCCCTCTCAAATTATGACAAATAACAAAGAGCACAGGCCTTGGCGACAGACAACACAGAGTAACAGGACTGCCACATCAGTGGAGACAAGTGTAAATAACTTCAACAGAAAAAAAAAACTGGAGGAAGAGAACCGCATCCTATCTTGCCCTTTCATTGGCCACCTCTCACCTTGTTGTTTCTAACTCTTAAATATGAGTTAAAATTAATATTATAATGTAGGAAAGACAATGACAGATAAGCAATGCTATGAGATTATTAACCCAGAACCACAAATTAATAAAACTATCAATTATTGGTAATTATAGCCTCTTTTACACAGCAATTATGCAAAACATATGCTTTCTTATCAAATATGACAACAACCTATTATAGATTATTACTATTTATTGTTGTAGACATGGCAGTGGAATATTCTGATCATTCAGTGGCCAGAGGTGAGGTACAGAATAACAATAATCAAATGTAAGATTGAACGCAATATTGTAATTGCCACTGCAAACAATTTTAATTAATAGTCTGTCAATAGTCTGTTACTTATTTTTCTACACAACTGCAATAGCTGGATTTGGACTATGCATTGCTGCAGTATTTATTTACACTACTGTACATCTCACAATCTGTGATATATTTTATGGAAATAATTTCTTTGTCACTGTTGTCTGTTACAAAATTATTGAGTCAAATTGGACTCTTATTGCACTTCTACATTGTAGTCTGCTCTGAATGTTATCTCGTTGTTATCAATGTTAACAATGACAATAAAGAACCTGAATTCATTCTAATTGTGTCAAGAAAATCATGAAGCTAATTTATAAATTCTAAACATTGATGATTTTTGCATAAAAAGGCAGATTTATTCATCAGCTGTTGTTTTGGCAGTGGGTTGCTGATGTAGATTTTAGTTCTAATATTTCTTGATTTATCTTACGAGAGATGGCCAAGCCTCCCACTGCAGTATTATTTATAGAGATGGACTAAAGCTACAATTCCTCCAGCTGCCTTCCCTCCATAATCTCTCTAAACAGCATGTTGAGCTTTATTTTATGTGAAGGAACAGTTAATACTCAAACTGGCAAACAATGCCTAAAATATTGATAGTTAGAACCTAGAATAAATTACTTTCCCTTTTCTTTCAACTATTAAATAATCTCCTGAAAATTACTTTTGATTTTCAAATAATTACTTTTTTAACTTTATATTTAAAAAGTGACTGTAATTTTGTTAAAAATGTGAACTAAGTTTAATCTGAACCACTGTCTGACACAAAATTCAACCTCCCTAAGCGCACGGGTTCATTTGCGCCTCTGCATCAGTCTGGGATTTTATGACAGGCTGTCACATAAAAAAAACGGAATATCTGCACTATATCTTTCTCTGTCTGACCTAGATCTCGTCTGCTCCCCTTGGGGAACCAGCAAATGCATTGGCTCTCTCCACTGTACAGTACTGCGGCTATAGACTGGACTGCGTGTCCTGTTCTTTTCCAAAACTATCCCTGTCAACATGAATGAGACAGGCTTGAAAGTATTAGATCATCTGAATGACTTTCAGTAGGAGTTGTCATCAGCATTGTTATTATGCATTATTATTCTTTAACAAATTATAGCAATTAGCAAGAGATGCATGAGCATGCATTTGGCATTCAGGGACATGCTATTGCAGTCATACAGGTAGCATTGATGGATGTGCTTTCAAAGTTGAAAAAAAAAAAAGCTAGTGTATGAATATAAATTTTCAAGCAGATGCTGTTATATAGGCTATTTTGATCTTGTGTGTGTGTGAGAGTTGTCAGAGATCATTTTGAGTCGATTTGACCAAGAAACATATTTTATGAATGAAAGAGAAGTGCTTTATAATAATATAATTATGTTTCTATTCAAAATTGTTGACGATCAAACGTTATAATCATTTAAATGGGGGCTGTCATTAAAAAAATGGCCTCTATTAGGCCTACAACCAATAATGACAGAATTAGGAGATTTAGCCAATACATTGAACACATTAAATAAACTATCAGATAAACTATAAAGCATTTTAACAGTGTATATATTTAACAATCATTTTAGCGACATGATACTCTCGTTATGCAACATCACGTGACATGCTGTTCACGTGCATGCTGTGTTATTTACATCTTTTCGCGGTTAAAACACGGAATACACAACAGATGATACATTTCAGTAAATTTTACTGTCTTTTAATATGTCCTTTGATGTTCATTTATGTTTTTCGTCCTTTAATTAGTCCTATAATAATTAGTTAGGAAAAGAAGCATTGGTTTGCTCTCGCTTTGGCATTCACAGCGATGTCACACCACATTAATGAGCGCCAAAACGCCATTTATTATTTAAATGAGTAATACAATTGGCATAATTCAAAGACTTTATTTTATCATTAACGCAAAACAGTAAAGTGTTTGCTTATAATCGCGTGTTTCCGCAAATGACTCAAAATGATGAGTGCTGCGCTTATGTGCTATGCTTAATAATCTGGATGGGCTGGATAGGAATAATAATTTATCAAATAAAGATATATAATATTAAGTTAAATAATAAGATAATTTACTTTTATTTAAATTAATTTGTATTGGACTACATTTAGTGACTTACCTCAACTTTGGCACATCCATGCAGTTTTAGTGGTTTATTTTAGCATTCATAAATACCTTGGTTTTAAAAGAATGGTGACCTTGGGTTGTGCAGCATGCCTTATATTCATACATTTAACTGATAAACTTTCTCAAAGGACCCAGAGCAAAGGCAATCGGGCTGTTGTACTTTACTTCTGTGAGCATGTGTGACCATGCCTCATGCTCATGGTCTGTGCTTAGGACATGGGTAGTGAACTTGTCAAGCCACCCTGGGCACGCCTGACTATAGGGCTACAGGCCTCTCAGTATGATTTATTTTTATAGGCAGGCAGGCAGGCAGGCAGGCAGGCAGGCAGGCAGCACCTACTTGTTACATGGACAGGAACAAAGACCACAGAATTTTCCTAGATCGTTCAAATTCTTTTCTGCATCCTTCATGTCCTTATTGATTTGGTCCATTCCCTCCTCGATGCGTTCCAGTTGTTCTGATTAAACAACAAGTAATTTATCCCCCACAGAACGAGAGCAGGTGTCAGGAAAATAAAGGAGGTAGGAAAGAAAGAGGAAAGAGAGGACAAAGAAGAGAAGACAAAACTTCAGACGGTCACTGTGACAAAAGGAAACTCAAAAAAAAAGGGGGGGTACTGGCTCTTGTTTTACAAGAATATATGAGAAATGAGCACAGCTGAACTGGATGCGAATTTGTTCAATACATCTAGAGGGGATTCATGCATTAGAATGAACCTACATATGCAAAAAAAGAGTTAGGAAAGAGTGAAAATAGCAAGACTTCATCCTTTATTTACAGATGCATAATAGTGAACATAAAATCAAAACGGACTCTATTTACTTAATGCTTTTTTCTGGTCTCATTGTGAACAATTCATCTGTCCATGTATTTAAAAAACAAAATAAGTGTCTTTTTAATCTTTAATTTAAAAAGTAGTCATTTTCCTTCTTTTACTGACATCACTGAGGCTGTACATGCTACACCAATTCCCAATAAATAAAAATAAAAACTAGTCCTGCCCTACATTTCTCCTCATTACTATCCTCAAAATACATCACATTTTGGAAGTAAAATGGGTTGCAAATGGGTTGACTTTCACATTTAAAACTTGGAAAACTTCATCAAGTGGATGAAGTCACAGTGGACACAGGCAGTTCTAGCTTGAATTTGATCCCGGCCGCCAATAGCAGACATATTTTCCCATAAGGGCCACTGCAGGAGAGCAACAGTGTCTTTTTAATTAGACCTTGGGGCAGAATAAAACAGTGCCCTAATCTCTCTCAATGCTTTGCGGCTGTAGTTTGCTGACTCATTTGCTGGAAGCCGACAGCCTCCTTTTCTCCTCAGTACAATGGAAGAGGGTGCAACTTATGGTTTGTTTGTCTCTGTTTGGTTAGGGGATGATATGGCTGAAGCGCTGGTGACCCGTGGTGATGCAGTCTGGCGTGTTTGTCGTGCAGACATGGTGTGTTCGATATCGTTAAGAGGTTTAGTGAAGGTATCGGGCACAGGGAAGAGAGAGGCAAACTGGGAATGGTTCAAGAGGAAACAAGCCTACCACATCAGTTACTTTTGTTTAATCCCTGGCATTTAAAGGCACTTTCATTTAGGCAAAGCAAATTAACCTAAAGATGATTAATTTGCTTGTGTCAAAATTCTATAAAATCTCGTTTAAAACAAGAAATTGAACTTTTGACATACCTCATTCCATGATAACAACCTAGCTTAGTGTCACCTCTGGGCTGAGAGTTTAGTTTAAATAAGCTTTAGGCCACAGTTTGAGGGGATGATTGAGATTTCATTCCCTTTATGAAAAGACTAATTACTGGCTGCAGATGGGGGGGCCCTCACACACAGGAGCCACTAAGAGGGCTTCTAAGAAGCTACTGCTTAACGCAAGGCCAATTATGTCATTTTTTAAAATAACACTAAGCCAAACAAGGTAACGTGTGCTTTTAAATTTTGGAATGACACTGTTAAAGTAGGTAATATCTGTTTTTAATCATTTTAGAATTGTGCCAGGGATTATACAAAAGAGTATTAGTGCAGTTTATGGGAAAGAGTGTCATTTGTCATTACCAGCTAAATCGATCGAAACTAATGTGATGGCAACTACATTTTAAACTGAACAGTAAATTTGTTTTAATTGCAAACATTAAATGGACAGTTGTAGTGGTCAGTCCTGTTTCTTTGGTAGTACAGTATACTGAAAAAAATATTAAATGAAAGAGGAAACGTGTTAGCAAAAAGGTGAAAGATGTAGAGTTATTTCAGAAATGGCAGAGGAAATCAAAATTGCATTGCATAAAATGACTTGAATTGCTTTAGGCATTAATCAGTGGAATGAACTGAAAGCAAATCAGAGATAAAGCTAAAAATCAATTTATGATACATACTATAGTTGCTTATTATGATGACAAATCAAATTTAAAAATACAAATTTATTTGAAAACATTTTAATTTTATATGAAAAGCTAAAGACATATACAATATTATACAATTTTATGTGCAAAGAATGTATGAAAATTGTCATCTAATAAACATCCACACTTACCTCCCTGCTCATCCAGCATAACCAAAGTCCTGATACCAGCATCTTTACTCTATGCATCAAGAGCCATGGAGAAGAAGCGTGGAAAAGAGGGTGAAACACATGGAAAACAAAGTGGAGAGTAAAGAAGGACAAAGAAAAAGAGGTGAGATTCAGCACACAAAACACAAAGCTCATTCCAGAGGCATTCAGAGAGACTTTGTCAGTTGAGGCTGTACTGATGACATTTCAAATTGCATAATGTTCTTCTGTTTTTCCTTAGACTAAAATAAGCAGACGCTAATTACTGTGGAGCATACAGCTCTGATCAATGTCATTTGTAAATGTACTCTCTGTGCTAATGTGAGACAGAATCTATTTAGAGTCTTTTTTGAGCTTTTGTAGCTTGAGACAATTCATCCTTAAACAGTTCAAATCATCAACGAAATATTATAATAAAAATGGTAGCAATGAATTAATCCACTTTTTTGTTTAGAAGAATAAATGACTGTTGGAGTACAACCAAATATTTACGCTGCCTTTCCACTGTCTCTGACCTTGCGCTCATAGTTTTGATTAGAATACATCACATCCAGTCGGGTACGATCTAACCGCAGAAGTTCAAATATTTTAACGCATCCGAAGCTCAAAATCGGATCTGAATTTTCTCCTTACACGTATGATTGGAACTCCACGCAGCTCCTGCACTAGTCTCCATTGGAAATAAATGACTTCCGGTCTATCGCTTGCCGTTTGTCGGAGACAGTGGAAAGGTGGCTTTAGGCAATGCAACAAACACAGTGTGATCTCATTGAAGGTGTTACACAGAACAAGCAATGCATTTTCATTCATCTTATACTGAGGACAGATTTTGTACACTATTTGGTGTGTCTGTTAATATGACAACAAATCATCTGTCACTTCATTAAAGCTTATGAAATGAGTTACACTCATACAGAGGACACCTACTCCTCCCAAACCCCAGTCAAAATTATTAGGGCACATTAGCACAAGGACATAAAGGCCAGTACAGATGTCCTCCGAGATTCCAATTCATATTTTGCTATAGATGTCATCCATGACGTGTTTATTATTTAATAGCACCCTGAAAAGGTCCGCGTTATAAATCAGCTCCCACTGTTCTAGTCTTCAATGAGAAACGCAACCAATGTCCATCACTATTTGGTCACTGGCATCCTAGATCTCATCCCCCATTTACAAAATATGACTTTTCCGTGAACCTAATGATCAGCAAGTTAAATTTGCTGAGCTGTTTTTCCTTGAGTTTGGAAAATAACAGGCATCTGTGACATATTTCAGAAAGTGCAGCTTCAGCGCTTTGAGGTGAACAGGATATCGATATTTGGGATAATCGTAAGGCTCGGTAGTGCATAAATCAGCAGGACATGAAGCAGCACCCCCCTCATTCTGGATGGGATCACAATGTGCCCTAAATGGATCCTCGGGGATTAATTTGTTTGTGCCATAAACCGCTGAATTTCCACGCAGCAGTAAAAGCCTGGAACAAACTCAATGCTTCTACTGGTATAAATAATGAATGTGATTTACCTCAGTTTTGGCCTAACGCAGGAATACTGCTGATCATCTATATGTGCCAAGAATATTTGGTCAAACTAAAACATGAAAAGGCTGGTATGGGCTGACATAATTAGATCGACTGTGCCAGTGGTGACAAATTATTCTTGATCTATGTGCACCCTCCCTCTCCAGATTTGTTCTGTCTATCAGTCTGTCAGCTTTAGAGTCTTCAGGCAACTTGTCTATTTGTCAACTCAGAGGCGACTTATCAGTAATGGACATGGGGAGGTGCTCTTTGCAGAGATATGGGCTGTGATTATCGATATGACCTTGAGATATGCTGCGGAGACTTCATCACAGTTCTTCCCCTCAGATATGCATACATCTCTTCTCTTACTCTCTTTAACACGCTCAACCCATCTAGCCTAGATTAGCCAAGTCCAGCTTGTGCTCAGCTCCGTCTGCAGACTAAAGCTCTCAAGATCAAAATACACTGATATAAGATATTTGTAAAAAAAAAAAAAGTGGATCCTTGACATCCATGTATTGATCTGTTGATTGATCTTCTTTTTTTTTTCAATTTGACCAAAGAATTATGTTTAGTTTCTAGGGCGGTCAATTTATGTTAATTAAATGAATGTTAATTTAGTGCATTTCATTTATATATATACTGTATATATATATATATATACAGTATATGTATAATTTTTTTTTACTTTTATGCTCACAGAGGCTGCATTTGTTTGATCAAAAAATACAGGCTAAACCGTAATACTGTTAATTATTGTTAAGGTTTAAGATAATGGTATTCTATTTTAATACATTTTAAAATGTAATTTATTCCTGTGATGGCAAAGCTGAATTTTTAGCAGCCATTATTCCAGTCTTCAGTGTCACATAATATGCTGATTCGGTGCTCAAGAAAAAGTTGCTGCTTAATATTTAACTGAAACCATTGAACATTTTTTCAGGATTCTTTGATAAATATAAAGTTCAAAAGAACAGCATTTATTCGAAATAGAAATCTTTCATAAAAATTTAAAAGTCTTTACTGTCATATTTGATCAATTTATTGCATCCTCGCTGAATAAAAGTGTTTATTTCTTTCAAAAATATCTTATGACAGATCATATATTAAACATTTGTGATCAGAAAGAAAGAGCATATGCAAACAATGAGAAATAATTTTTATATAAATATGATAAAATGTCTCTTTACCTCTTCCACAAGCTGCAGCATACGGCGGGTGCTCTCCAGTGACTGTGGGGGGCAGGAAAAAGATGTTAAAACCAGAATTCATTAGGAACTGACAGAGATAAAAACCACCACAAGCTGTAGTGTGTGGGAGGATTTTTAACACACAATATAATAGATAAATAATCAATGGATGTTCTTTACAGCACTAACGAACCAAAACATTTAACCCTCTACAAAAAATGGACAAAAAAATCTGCAGTGGTCAATGGCAATGGCAAACTTTCAATTGTACAATAATACATTTTTTATTTTATTTTATTTTTGTATTTATTTTTTAACGATCTGAGTGAAATAATGTCACTCTGGTCAGTGCTCTGAAGTATCAGAACATCATTCACCTCTCCTTTCAAACCTTATGTCTCAGGCCATCCACCATTATGACCACCTCATCTTTCTGTCTCTCACTGATGTGAAATGCCAAAAATAAATGCTCTTCAAAAAAGTTGGAGATGAATAATTTCCTTCTAACTAAACATTACGAATACCGAACATATTTCAACAGTATGCCATTTATATAAGTAAATCTACAGCATTTTTCACACAAATATCATGGACTGAGTGTCTGGATATTATGAATTCATATCTCTGTGGATCAGAAGGCCAGAGGACATTTTTGCAGTGTGGTGTCCTATTTGTATTTTAATATTCTGCTCAGCTATGAGAATCATAGTGTGGGGTGGCAGTGAGGAGCTCCATCAGGCTGCAAACACACACACACACACACACACACACAGAGCAAATGCTGCAGCGTTATGTAAGGCAGAGTACAGGTGAACCCTCCCTACACATCACACACACACACATTCAAATATGGATTCTGACATTTCACAGTCACAGCCCACAGAACAAGCTGTGTACAAATAAATAAATCTGTAGCATAAATTACAGCAATTTATCCAAGCTTCAATCAACAGAGCATAAAAATGTGAAATAATTAACTTGTGTCAGCGACCTGGATAAGAGTTAAATCAATTTAATGTCTGCTTCAACTAAACAGATGACTTCGCAAATAAAATAATAAAATATTTATTTATTCTTTACATCATTTTTTATGTTGCACTGATCGACAGTCGTCAATAGTGGTATTGATGCAGCATCATGTAAAAAAAATTCAGTTGTAGAAATGCCTTATTCAGAATCAGCCATAATTAATTAATCTAAAATTACAATTATAAATAAAAATTACAAATAATTAATAAAATATCTAATATTTTATTATAATAATTTTATAATAATGTAATTCATACAATTATTAATAACTCTATAAAATGTCCAAAAACAGGAAGTTACAGCGATAAAAGAAGTAGCATTCAGCTGGCCTCCATGAGGAGACATTCAGTTTTGTTCTGTTTCGATTAAGTTTTCTGTTCCCGTTTGCCTTTCTGAGTTTCCTAGATTTTTCCTATAGTTACTAATAGCCCCACACACCTGTTTCAGTTCTATTTGATTACATTCCCTTTGTATTTAAGCCCTCAGTTTCCCTCTGTTCCTTGCCGTTCCTTGTGCTTTATATAGCACCAACACGTTACAAGACCTGCTCCATGTGAAATAAATCAGTTTTTATTTGGCTGCTGATGTGACTACTCTTTTTATTAGTCTCCATCTCATGTGAGTGTACATGATCTTAAACTTTTTTTCAGAAATACTATTCATTTCTTAATTGCTGAATGCATCTTTAAACAAAAAATGGAAATTTACATTACTGTAAAATATGTATGTATATATATATATATATATACTGTATATATATATTCATCATTATCACTTGGTTTGGTGGTTAGAAACACATCAGTGCTGCACAAAGCTCCGTTTTGGTTCCTTAGTTGGCACTGCAGTCTTTTTTTGCATCCAGTTAAAGTTTGAAAGTGTAGCATAAAGAGAGGAAGTGAATGACCTTACCTCATCGGCCAGCTGGTCTGCACGTTGCTGCATGTCAGAGAGCTCATTGCGCATATCCGAATCATCTGCCATGGCTGCTGGGTGTGCTGGGTGGAGCTGGTCTCCAACTGGGAAGAGTGGGTCTTATTGGAAGTCTGGGGGAAGCTGAAAGAATCAGACATAGACAGAGAAAAGTAAAACATTAACGATGGAGCTCACTTAAGTATTGAAATGTGTCATCCAGTTTTAAGAATTAAAGGGGTCATATGACGTTGCTAAAAAGAACATTATTTTGTGTATTTGGTGTAATGAAATGTGTTTATGCGATTTAAGGTTCAAAAAACACGTTATTTTCCACATACTGTACATTATTGTTTCACCGCCTTTCTGAAATGCGTTGATTTTTACAAAGCTCATCGTTCTGAAAAGTGAGGTGTGCTCTGATTGGCCAGTTATCTAGTGTGTTGTGATTGGCCGAATACCTCAAGCGTGTGACGGAAATGTTACGCCCCTTACCATACTGTAATGCCGTGTCCCGGAGCGATGAGACAAAACCAGTAAAACCCATTATAAACGAGGCATTCGTTGCATCCAGTGGGGACATAATTACGGATTATAATGACTGTTAATGTCTTTTTATGCGTTGCGTTGCATCGCGCCGCCTAAACATAAAACCATGTCTGCATTTGTGATCGGAGAAATGACAAACAACAAGCGCTACTCTACACTGCTCAAAACTCACGTTTAAATCATCAGTGGCAAATCCTTTAAATATGAAAACGTACTTACAGGCTGTGAGTCAGCATTATTTGTCAGCATCATAGACTGTGGTCAGCATGTGCGCCGAAGGGGAAACAGGGGAACTGAATTCACCGGAACACTGGCGGCTACTCTCCCAGGAAACTCTCCGTAAAATGCGTTGCACACATCTGAATATTTGGGTTAAACTGTTCCGGAACAGTGTTGTAAATACAACTTAACCACTGATTTCTAGTCGTGTCCTCTTTTGTAAGGCCAAACAAAGTAGTTTCGCTTTCACTAGGAAACACACAGCATCTCCACAACATGGTGGCAGCAACAATACTACAGCGAGAATCAAAGTTACGCCTTCTTTCTTTGCGTGAACATTTGGGCGGCGTTATGCAAATCTTCACACATCGTGACGTAGACATGTGGAGGCGTGTTAGAACGAGGCGTTTCAGGAGGGTGTGGACGAATCTTAACTTTTATAAAGAATATCTCTTTGGGTTTGAGACTTTAGTCTTTGCAACTTTAGGGATCTTATCTATTCACGAACAGCTTGTAGCACTCCAAAGAGAAAGGAAAACTTGAAATCGCATCATATGAACCCTTTAACAACGACAAAATATCCACACTAAACCAATAATCTGTCTTCCTCAGAGAAACAGCCGCAGATGTTAAATTCATTAGGAAGACAGAGTTATGCAGCTAATAAAGTAATTTCACACAGGCTAATGTCATGAAATGGCCAGTAGGACATTGTCTGCTTTTAAGGAGTCCATTGCCTCTTCTCGTATGCTCTTGCGAATAGTGCTGAGGTGGTGGCTGCTGTGTTTAGCTGATTAAATTCTTCCCTGAGGTTCTGGGTGTACCAGGAGAAATTTGTCCCTCATGGAAACTGTGAGCTTGACAGATATATTCCTGAAAGGACTGGCCTGACAGCTAGCAAGATATCCCAAGGGGTCTAGAAAGAACAGCTTACTGAATAATTGTGAGTGTGTGTTAAACTGCACAAGCATGTGAGCAATTATGCCATCCTTATTCAAAGTTAAAAGTAAAACAAAAGGCTTTTACAACTATAAAAGGCTTTTATAATTTATTTATATTTCTTACTGTAGTGGCAAAAAAATTAAAATACACCTAATTATACTTGGATATACAGTCAAATCAAAATTTATTCTGACACCTTTAAATTTATCACAGTTTATTCGCTATAGTTTAGAAAATGGTAATAAAATACAACAAGAACTAAGT